TTGTTTCTTAAAAGTGTTTTTTCCCCTTGAAATACCAGCTCCCAATGAACAGCTTATGTACTTTTCATAGTAACCAATATTAAAATTAGTATAAACAAGTTATAGTGAGAAACATGAGATATGGAAGTATTTAATTTTTGTGTGGTCATTACATATTTACTTATGTGAGAAGCAGTTTTTGCTATAGAGTCATCGGATGACTCGATGTATAGAGTCATACATAGTTTTTCACAAATCGTGTATTGAAACGTATCCTACTATAAATATACTTTGGACATGTGTCAATATATTAAGTGATTGGTAGCTCCATAAAAAAACCACCTGATGACTCCATAGAATTTTTTATGTGCGAAGATGAGAATTGAAGAAAGAAAATTCAATTTCATCTAATCTCACTCTCTGTATAAATATAATCCTACCAACACAATTAAGAAATAAAATTATAAATAGATTATTATTATATATTTTCCAATATACTAAATATTTACTGACTCATTTATTCAATATTCTATTATTCTACGTCCCATCAATTTATTGTATTCTTATTTTATATTTTTACAATCTCCAATTCATTCCCTATAAAATTTCTTTTTAATCTATTTTTTCGAGCAAAATATTTTGTTTAAAAAAATCTTATATTTCAAAATATTTTTGTTTAAAAAAAAATCACGGGTGGTCCTTTTATGCTCTCGTGTGCAATAATTGCTTAGATACTGAACCGGTCAATAATGTACCAATAATTTATTCCCTTCCCAAAATGACGCTATTTACTTATTTTTTGGGTGTACTAAAAAAATAAATAAATTATTTATGCTCAGACGACTATTGAATTACAAATAAATAAATAAATAAATAAATAAATAAATAAATAAATCAAATCTGCCAGGGCTGTAGACTGATATTGAAGAAAACAAGGGAGACCTATCCATTTGGGCAGTATGCCCATTCAGAGCATTTACAATACTTTGATCTAATTTTGCTTAAGCAACATGTATACAAACTTAAATTATGAATGACATTGATAGAATTATGTAGAAGTAACACAATTCACTCCAGTAAAAAGAGACTGATTCTCTACTCGAGTCTACTCTACCGAGTCTAAAATAGACTTGAGGGTTGATCGAATATTTTTTTCTTGGTGTCACATTAGCAAGATTCGATCCAATTACACTTGCATTAGAAAATATATTGTTTTAGGTTGGATCTATTTCCTATGTGGCATATAATTTTTTTTAATTAACTCAAAGCACTGTAGATGCTCTTAGTAAATACCATTGGATCAAACACACATTCACATCAGCGTGTGTGAGAATCAATGTGTAAGTGTGTGATTCGACGGATATCCAATGTAGGCATTGGATCGACTTACCAGTGCAATGGATCCAATGTACTAACCCAATCTAAATGAAATCATGTTTCCTACAATTATTTTGGCAAAAGCCTACCATATTTGAATAGTAACACCTCCTCAATCAACAACCTCTATGTTTAGTAAGCATAGCTGATAAGTTAATTTATAGTTTTTAAATATATTTCGAGCTTATAATTGAAAAAGTAGCTGATATAACAAAAGTGTTTGGTAAATAGCTGATAAGCTACATACTTATTTGAAAAGTTATCCAAAAAAACTTATGAGATAAGCTTAACTTTTTTAAAACGAACTCGTCCTACCAACCAAGCTTAAGCTTTTAAGCTTATTTGAATAGAGAAAACTTATAAGTTAAAGAAATAAGCTATAAGTTATCTTATATACTTAACAAACACAACCTTAGCCTTGTAGACAACACCTTTCAAGAAAGCGGAAAGAAAAACCGAGCTGCCTACAGATCATAGTCAAGTGCTTCGTACAAATTTAGCATTCTATAAAGGTCGGTCCTCTTGACAGAAAAAATGAAACAACAAAATACAGAAGTTGAAAAATAGGCTACGAAGCACGGAGTCCACTTTCTTAATCTGAAATCGTCGTGTCTGTGCTCTCTCAAAGGAAACTATTACTGTAGGCACTGAAACCCTCAAAGTTATTTAACAACATAAAAGAGCAGAACAGAAATGATTTTTAATCACCTTTGTTTTTTTTTTTTTTATTTCTTATCCTTCTCGGGGCTTTGCAGAGAGAAAATGGGTTCACCCTCATTATCCTGATCAGTTGGTTCACCGGCCGAGGAGGTTTTGTAGATAGATTCCCAAGATGAATCCTCACTTCTCACATGGTCCGGTTGGGAGATATTGGGAGGGTCTTTGTTTGGGCTTTTGCCAATCATGTTCTTGTATATAGAGAGTGCTTGAGCCATCATATTTGCTGGGTTGGAGGCATTGGAGGGAAGTAACACCGTCGTACTCTGAAAAAAAAAAAAAAAAAATTGCATCCGGTTAGTGATTACGAGTACTTGAAATGATATTAAGCTAGTTTCAGGATTTTACCTCCTTTGCAATCGAGCCGAAGGCCTGAATATATTGCTCGGCAATTCTTAAACTTGCTGCCTGAAAAACCAAGAAACATCAGTTTTTTCTCAACACTTGCAAATGTATTCTGAACTAAGCGTAAATTTCTGCAATCTTTCCCAAAAATAATCCACGAGCCCCTTTTGAAAGGCAACTGATGGCAAATCCTCATCTACATTTTCCTCTTAGTGGAAATAGAGATGTACGGAAATTTTGGAAATAGGAACGAATCAAACTCGAGAGAATGAAATGCACCGCAAGTTCAGATAAAATTTGTAGATCAGGAGTGAAAAAGAAAATCACCTCCACGCCTCCACTTTCTTCGAGTGCTTTTGACACCATAATTATTCCTTTGGCAGTAGCTTGTGCTCTAGCAAGGATGGCTTCTGCTTCTCCTGTTGTAGAAGACATTCAAAGCAAAAGCACAAATATTAAATTCATTTTTCAAAAGCGAATAACAACAACAATGACGACGAGTCGACAAAGAAAGATAGAAAGAACCAAGAAATCACAGCACTTCTACTCAATCCAGGATGTGGTGTATATAGGCCAAATAATTTCACACACTAAAGTATTCATGGATAAACTTTGTGCTCAAACGGCCAATATTCAAATTTAGCTTACTACCCAGTTCAACTTTTAGGTAAACCAAACATTACACTATTAATATTCAATTCAAACATGATAACCGACCTAGAGCTCGGTTAACCTGGTCTTCCCTTGAGGCTTCTGATGCAAGAATCACAGCGTTTTTCTTTCCGTCTGCAATATTAATATTTGCCTGCCTTTCTCCTGCATATGGACACCCATTAGGCTTATAAAGAAATAAGCAGAAATATGCACTGGGTTTTCATTAGATCAATCCTAAGAAACATATTCATACATGGTCAGCGGCTGATATAGTACTTTATTCTGCCATTACACAGAAAATCCATCCAATCCTTATATCCACTATGGTAACTCCGTGGATATATTAATAGGTGGTAAGCTAGTTGCAAGTAAATCGATCGACTACCGCAGTAATGCCCAGAATGTACAGAAAAATGATAGCATAATAGGGGGATGCGAACATCAGTGAGTCTAAAGATCCTCCAAATTCATTGCAGTAGAGACACGCTTAAAAAGCTGGTGTGCATTACCATTTTTATAAGGGTTCCGTTTAAAACTTACAAGGTGGAAAATGAAATGGAAAAGAAAAAATTACAAGTAATTTTCCAGGTCATGGCAGTGACGACATGCATATTCTAAAGTAATGGAGTTCATTTTCCTTAATCACTACATCACAGCCTTTTTTCTTAAAAAAGATAAAACAAGAAATGACTTTCATCCTTCGCATAAGTTACATCCACCACCCGCCTTACATAGTTTTTAATCAAAACTCAAACACCAAGCATCCATGGCCATACTAACACTAGTCCAATAGTGCAGGAGCCAAGCCAAATACCTTCAGATTCCAAAACTTGAGCCCTCTTTTTGCGCTCTGCTTCTGCTTGCATCTCCATTGCAGCCCTCACTCCTCTTGGAGGAGATATATCCCCTGATTCAGAGAAGAAATTTATAGGATAATAAGATGCACCAGAAAATGCTGAGAAATTGTAAAACCAGACCGAAAACTATTGATTCCATGAAAACTACCCACTTATTTCATAACGTAGGCATCGTAAACCCCAGTCTTTTGCTGCTTCATTGATGGCAATCTGCATCAAGGTTAATAGGTAAGTTCAAAACCTATACAATGGTGTGAGGTAACTGAGTGCCACTTGATAAGCAAATATTGACCAATGCAAATTCACATATCTAAGCATAAATCATACAATTCTACACAACAGTAACATGCACTATTTGCCAATTGACAATGGTAACATGAACAGCATAAATACATTGTATTATATATGCGTGGGTTTTAATATCTGTATGAGTGAAAATGTGCTTTATCCCAGAAACTTATTTTTAATGCATAGAACCAGTTTCCAAGAATAAAATGTTAATTCTGCATATAGTCGTCAGGCCAGGTCCATATTTGTTCAGCCCACAGTAAAGAAAAACTCAATTTTCTAACCACTAAACGAACTTGGTTCCGAATGTAATGTTTGTGCTATCTATAAAGTGTTTCCGACACTTTTAAAGTTGTGCCCAGTGCCAAGCCTTACTTTTCACTTCTTAATGCAGCACAGCTCAATGGATAGAATTGACCACTAACGACTACCAACGAACATAATAAGCAAAATAAACACATACCACAATCTTCTCATTGAGCGTGTCCCTTTCCTCAAAAGTCTTATCAAGAGTGATCTTACCCAGCTCACTTCTCATAGTAGTTTGCGCAAGCTGAATCACGGCATACAACGGATTCTCAACTCCATATGAAGCCAACTTCGGGTCCACTATCTGCAGATCCATGAAATAACAATAAAATTTCATTTGTAGATATTCACGAACATGAAAATCATACTGTATAACTAAATTCCAAACATGCCTTGACATAGAGGACCCCGTCGATTAAAATGCTGACATTGTCCTTGGTAATAGCAGACTGGTCGGGGATTGGAATGGCTTCTTCTTTTAGTGAGTGAACATAAGCAATCCTATCGACCAAAGGAATCAATAAGTGGATTCCAGGTGTCAATGTCTTCACATACTTCCCAAAGCGCTCAACAACGAATGCCTTCTTCTCGGGCACGATTCGGATCCCCCAGTTTATTGGCGGCGGGGTGTCGTACCTTTCCAAAAACCACACTATGTTTATCATACTATTTACAAACTGAAAACGAATTCTAACATTATCAATAAATTTCCCAGGAAATAGTTACGCCCCAAACTTAGCTTCTTCAACTTACACTCATTCTTCCTTTTTCATATAAATGCTTTCGATGCAATTATCGACACTCGCGAGTTCTATTAGCATGTTGCTATAAGAACTAATGATAGGTGAACTGAAATGTAGTAGAATATTGTAAAATACCATGAGATATCAATCCAGCCATAAATATCAAATACTGATTTCGATTACCAAGCAACACAAACACGGATCGACAGAAAACTCACACAGGATAAGAAACACAAAACTAATGAAACTATACACATGTATATGATGGAGTTCCAATACAGAAATGGTGCAAAAATGTCGGGGGAATGAATTTACCAGCTACTTCAGTGAACAATACGAAAATGTATGGATATACAGAATAAATGAAATAAAACCATTCGAGAAATGCATTGTACGACACAAATCCACAAGATTGTACAAAATCCATAGCAATACCTTGAGCTGGGGTCACGCGAGTTGCGTATGTGCCGGACTGTGGTGAAGTACGGGGAAGGCAGCTGAGATGGCGAGCTTCGAGCGGACGGCTGGTTGAGCAGCGGCGGAGGTGCGGTGGAGATGCTGCGAGAGGCGATCGAGGATTGGGCGGCGAGGAGGTTTCCGGCGGCCCGAAGCTTGTACAGAGAATTGGATTTGACGAAGTTCATTTTCCTCTCTCTCTGCCTGAAAATTTCTTCAACCAATTTTTTGAGAGAGAAAAGAGTTGAGAGGTTCGACTTGTTGGACAAGAAATTGGGGAAATTTTAATCAAAAGCCCTAGTAAAACCCACGGTTTAAAATCAAATGGACAACAATTAAATTGCTTTAATAATTTTTCCATTTTTTACATGGAGGCTAAATATTATTCAAAAAATGAAGTTAGTGAACTTTAATTGGTTTACAATTTAATAATTGCTATCAATTTAAGTTGACAACTCTAAACATAATTTTGCTTGTTAGCTTCTCTTTTAACCACTCTTGAGCTTGGCTTAGCTAACGAATTAGGATCGAACTTGTTGAAAGCTCGTTTATTTAATGAACTGAGCTCATATCGACTCGTTAAAGTTCGAACTTGACTCTATAATAGTGATAAACAACAAAGTTCAAATCCAATTACCGACACATTTAGTTCACAAACAGATGCAAAGTTTGAGTTTGGCTGAACTCGTTTATGTACCTACTCTTAGTAGACAACAAGAATGGTCCATATTCCTTAAGAACAGTACTCTCACCACTCTTTCAAGCTACCTTATAACTTATAAGCAAGACAATTTACTTGGATTCAAGAAGTATTTAATTTTAACATTTTTTTTTATAATCAAAGATTCGTAAAAGCTATAA